ATATTATTAAGAGATTCTGTTATTGACCCCTATTATGATAAAAAAAACTATTCGTAAATTAAATCGATGGAATGAACGCTTGTGTAATAATCCGTTGTCGAAACGTAATTTAAAAATAGCTGTTTAGTTTCTTAACAGATTCGCTGATCAATTTGAATATCCCATGAGCGATTGTTCAATAACTTTTGTTAAACGTTTTTTAGAAAAGAAAAAAAATTGAGCAGAAACATTTCGTTTTCGTTTGTCTTTAATTAGTTCTTTGAGCTTAAACGAACTTGTCTCGACTATGCGTATATATTGGAAAATTGTTATTGTTTTTATTTGTTGTATTCCATTTTCTGTAGTCTTTTATTTATTGTTTTTATTATTGCTTGTGCAAATTAAAAAACAATGGTTTTCGGGTGAAGATTCGCATGAAAACGTGGACGGAGAGCGTCTCACAGAATATGCGGCAAACGGTTGTCAAAAAACAAGAGAACAACTGATACGGTTGAAAAATAATAACTTTAATATATGTTATGATAAGTTGGAATTACTTATGTCTGAGATTAGTGAGCGCTCAGTTTTGAACAAGTACAATCTTATTATATTCAAATGGCTGTGCAAGTTCAGAAGAAAATTTGCATTAGAAGAATTTTTGCATGTTTTTACCTGTTTGAAAATTGTGTAAAGTGTCCTATTCAAAACTGTAGTTTGTGTGAATACTTGATGATATCTAATGACACTATGTTAACAATTCTTAATGCTGTAAGAAGAAGATTTGCATTAGAAGAAAACACGTTTGAAAATATGATGTTGAATTTGTATTTTTTCTATAATTAATTGGTGATGCTTGATCAAAAAATTGACTTTATCGAGAATCGAGATCGAGGTCGAGAATCTCCCAACTACTTTAAAGTATTTTGATTTTACTAGTAGTATTAGTAAACTGGGACAAGTATGGCAACATTGTCAGTGCAAATATAAGCTTTTTAGTAGTAACTGTTACTGAGATTATTGATAATAAGAAAACACTGGTTGATACTTACCTTAATGCTCTATTTTATAAATACACAGATTTTGCAGTGATTGATCACGATCACTCGACAGGCACTATATTAGGTTTGGCTCATTCCTATTTTAATGTAAAATGTGGAAGAGTTGAAAAGACCCGTGTAGATATTTATTTACACAATTTACACTGCAAAATTCCTCAAAATGAACATTTTGAGAAATTTTGCAGTTATCCTTGGCTGAACAATATATGTGAAAGGTGAAAAACTTGCATATAAATTGGACAAGCATGAAACTGTGGAGTCTTTAGATATGGATAACCCAACATAAATATGTTATGATTGTTAAATTATTAGCCGTTATGGGTGTTGTTCGATATCATTTAACTAAAAAGTTTGTCAGTAGTTTGTCTAAAAAGAGGTCTGAAGCTAATACAGTGGGCGATAAGGTAAAAAATAGATCGTTTAAACTCATGATCAATCAACATTATGGTTGGACGGCTAGAAAGAGAGAGTCATATAAAGATTGTAAGTTTATTATCAACAAGCAAAATTGTCTAAAAAATAGTTTGCTAAAAATTCAAGGAGAATCAGAGGTGACAATCAAGTCTTATTTGCCACCAAGTTTGTTGACACTGCTAGATGTTAGCAATATTAAGCTATTATGTATTGATTTAAAAGAGAAAAAAATTTGTTTCAATGGTGTTGAGAGCTAAGTTGAAGTATATAGAATGCAGTTAATGACTGAAATATTTCATTTTGATAATAAAAGTATTTATTTGCCCGATAGAAAAAATGAATGAGTTTAAAGCTATGATGGAGACGTTGACGGAATAAAGAGTGGATCAAGCGTTTTGTTTGATTATGATAAAGACAAATATTTTAAATGTCAGCTTGCGGAAAGCAGCTTGCGGTATTTTGGGACATGCAAAACGAGGCGTTACCGTTTTTGCTTGTGTCATAAAAGGAGCACTAATGAAAGAAGGTCTTTTTTTTCAGCTCGTTGGTACTGATAGCGATTCTTTATTTTTTATTATATACGACAGTTTTGATTCAAAGGTAAAAAATATTTTAGCAAATGACAAACATTTTAAGTCCATGGTGGACTATTTGAATTATCCAATAGAGCCAAACATTATTTCATCCAATTCCAGAAGATGATACATCATTTTCAAAATGAATGTCCCATTAAGCTCATTACTTTTGTGATTGCTGTCGCAGCAAAATGTTACAAAATATCATTCATAGGCGATTCGCATAAATTTAGAACAAAATGTTTTCCACAACAACACCTATTATAATCTCATTACGTTATCGGTCTTTGTTTGTTTTAGAAAATTACTTTGACAGCAGCGTACTGTGCTTAAAAAGAACAAACACTTTATTTAAACAAAATTGTCTCCAGTTTTCTTTTGGAGTTGAAGAACTGTCAGAGAAACAATTGAATTTCATAAGCAAAGTTAATTCAAAACTCTATGTTTGCAATTACGGATTGGGTCTGATACGTGGCGATGTACGTTTGAGAAAATTGTGAGAGTTGAAAAAAACTGTAGCTGATGCCATAGGAAAAATGTGCAGTAATGAAAACATACGTCAATTATTTGAATTGGAAAAAGAAATGATAAAATATTGTCCTGATTTGCGTAAAAGGAGTGTCTACATGAGAGACTTTGCATTGTGCATTTTAAAAACGATACAAGAAAACTTTAAATAAAGAGCAAACTAGTTGCTAATGTTATAAGAAAAAAATGGAAGATGCATATGAACAATTGTGACAGAAAAGGAGATTTACTTTACCCCTAAACAAATCTAGTGAGATTGACGATAAAGAACCGGCTTCGGAGAAATATGATATTTTTAAAACATTTGGATATCTATCCAGCAAATACACTTATTACCGGTCCTGTCAATGCAGGTAAAAGTAAATTGACACGTTACATAGTGACGTCAAATTTAAATTGACACGTTACATAGTGACGTCAAATTTAAATTGACACGTTACATAGTGACGTCAAATTTAAATTGAGACGTTACATAGTGACGTCAAATTTAAATTGAGATGTTACATAGTGACGTCAAATTTAAAGAAGTAAATTACCATTTAATAAATAAACTTGAACCAAAAAACAAAAACAAGAATGGCGAAATGTTTGTCAAAACGATTATTATATTTTTATATATTGTTTTTTCATGGCAATAATTATATATTTTTTTTAAATTATATAAATTTTATCAATGGACTTATTATAATTATTTAAATATATTAATTTTATTTCTTCAAAATGTTTTTTAAATGTTCTTTGCCTTTTTAAATGTTTTTTCAGCGAAACTTTGTAATTCATTTTTTCATTTTTAATATATTTTTTTAAAAACGATTTAAAGTTTTATTTTACCTTTTTGTTAACATCCATTTTTATTATTTTTACCCACTTATATTATTCTTTGTTCGCTTATACTTTTAATTTGTTGCTCGTTTTTCGTACCAAACTGTTTTGCAATCTAACTTGTCAACTATAACCTTTAGTTGAGTACCTAATCTTAACCCTTGACTTGCGATATCTCTACCATGTTGTGTATTTTTTAATGTCTCAATTCGTGAGATTCGCTTTTTGATATTTTCTTTGTTCGCGCCATTTTTTCATTACTTTATTTTGTTTTTGTTATATATTTTTCTCATTTCATTTATATACTTAAATTTTTTTTTATAAACTAAATATGTATAACTATTACCTTATTATTACCACTATTATTTTTTAATTACCTTTAAGTTTTCTTTTCAGTACCAATTTATATACGTGCTTTTCAGCTCGTCCACTTTTTACATTTTGTTTGTTTCATTTATATTTTTGTTTTGTTTTTCTTCCAAACAAGAGCGCTGATTGTCTTTCCACTTGAACAGAAGATCCTCTTTCGACATAAAAGTCTACATCTTCTGCATTATACTGTTGAGAATGAGGAACAGAGTCTTTTATTCTCACGTTTCAATTTTTTCTTTTATTATAAGCTCTTGAATGTCTAACAGTTCCTTTATTTCGCGCCATGTTTATTTTTTTCTTTTAGATTTATAACTTAATATATTTTTATATAAATATATTTTCTAATTAATATATATGTTTTTTTAACTTTTTTGGACCGAATACCTTAACTATTTGGAGCCAACTACATTGCTTGGAGGTTTTTAACCCTATTTACATGAGGCACAACACCAGTGAACAGGTTCATTTCAGTGTAAACAGGTTCTTTTCAGTGAGTTGTTTTAATAGGAATATGAACAGGTTTATTTACAGTGATTTAGCATCAGTTAGAATGGTTTTGCTATAATTTAAATATTTAAACTGACTTTAATAAGTAAAACAAGGTTATTTGAAACTCAACATATAATATTTACATCATTACACAATTTATCACAAGGTTAACCTTGTGATAAATTGTGTAATGATGTAAATATTATCTGTTAAGTTTTGCAGATAACATTTCATCTATTAAAAAAAACCTTTTAAAATTTATTGCACAAATAAGTAACATTATCTAACTTAAAAGACTTAAAAAGATATATATATATATATATATATATATATATATATATATATATATATCTTTTAAAGTATATCTTTTAAAGATATATATATATATATATATATATATATATATATATATATATATATATATATATATATATATATATATATATATATATATATATATATATATATATATATATATATCAGGGCTCTTTCTGCAAGGTTATAAATAGAAATATTAGTACACTTTTTTTATTTAAAAAACTTTATTTTTAATTATTTTACTTTTTAAACTTTTTTCTACTTTTATTAATAGTCGATAGTTATTAAAATGAATTTTTATTAATTTCGTTAAAGTTAATTTTAAAGATCTTTGTAATTATTTTTAAAGATTATTGTTAATATCACTGTTTCTGCTGTGGATGGTTTAAGTGTTCTTATACTCACTTGATTGGAATAATGATAGAAAACCAAATTAATAAATTACCTTCTAAAAAGTTATAACTTAATTCTCCATTAACAAGACTTATTGTTTTTGAGAACAAAATCACTGAATCTCCTTGAAGAGAAACCATTCCAATATGAAATTTAACTGTGGCATTATCAGCAACTGGGAATCTACCAATGTATATTGACAATGGGGAACACTGACAAATCTAAGAATAATTTAAAAATACAAATCTAAAAAATAAAAAATGATTAAATATAAAGCGTTAAATAACTACTAATAAAATGTCAGGGGCGGATGCAGCATTATTTTATGTTTGAGATACTTATGTAAGATTAGCTTTGCAAAAAAACTGCGAAGATTAAAGCCTGGGGCTTTAATCTTCTAAACTTTAGCTATACCTACCCCAAACGTGAGAGCAACGTAAGAGCAACAAGTTGATAAAATATAGTTTCTTTATTTTCAACTAATTTTATTTTAGCAAAAATTATGACCATATAAAGTTTGAACACCCCTCAATTTGAGGGAGTTACTTAAAAAGTTGAGGGATTAACGTCAAAAAACACTGCATCTGTCCCTAAATGTAAATATATATTAATATAATTACAAAGTTTTATTTTAATATTAAAAGTATTCACTTTTATTAAATATGGAAAAAAGATTTGTTTAAAATTATTGATTCATAACATTTTTATAAAAATGTTATGTATTTACATTTTTATATAAATTTTATTTTAATAACTCTAGTAAAATATTAAACTTTTACTTTATTAGCTAAATTCAAATAGTGTCCTTGATTTATTACTGTAAACTCAGGTAAAGGTGGTTCTCCTCTATACATAGCACCAGATACACCAAACTTTTGATTATATTTCTTCCATAACTTTTTAGTTGCAGCACTACTGGTACTCAGTTCTGAATTTGGGCTTCTGTCAGATGTTGAGTCATCGTGGTCAAGAATACTACCAAGCATGTGCATCATATCAGACTGATATAATAAAACATGCTGCATATGTGAATGCCATATTAAATCGTTATCATAACAAGGAACTATAAATGTATTTGAATTTTCTTTTTTAATTGTAATCATTATTTTATAACGTTTAACGGCGTTCTGCAAAAATTTTGGGTCTCTAAAATGTGGTAGTGAAGAGTTATAATTAAAAACTCTTTGGCGCATTGAAGCTGCAACAATATCATAGGAGCACTTAAAAGATTTTGTTGAAATAAGTATTGGATTTGAATTAGTAAGATCAATTTCAAACGGAATGTCTTTATAGGTCTGTGTCCAATATCTTTTTGATGTTGAAATTTTATCAATAGTGAAAGACATAGGAGCATGGTCAATAATTTTACCAAACAGTTTTAAACAATCACATTGGTATGCAATAGGATTTAATATATGACAATGCCAAACCCATTCTATGTCTAATGGAGCAGGCAACAACTCGTTGTATTTGACAACAAGTGGCAGCCAATAATTTTCATATCGATAAACTGCATTACGTAACACATTTTCACAGTATAGCACAGGATGCTTGTCAACTAATCGCAAAAAATCATATTCCAACTGAGCTTTTTCTACCAAATTTAGTTTTGATGGTATTTGAACTTTAGAAATATCATTGCCCATTTCAATGCTTACATGTTAGTTCTAGAATGCTAAATATTTTTATTATAACGAAAATTTAAAATAAACTAAAATATAATATTAAAACTTTAAATATAGTGTTATCACTATAAAAACATTTTTTTTTATCTTTTACAAATAAGTTTAATTTTAGTTAAATATGTAATAATATTATGTACTAAGATTATTACATTGTATTGTATTTCTTAAAAAAATATTACCTTTGAACACTAAAAGTATTAGTTTGATAAATAAAGTTTATTAAATATCATCATCATCATCATCATCATCATCATCATCATCATCATCATCATCATCATCATCATCATTATCATCATCATCATCATCATCATCATCATCATCATTATCATTATTAACACATCATTTGTAAATAACTTGAGAAACACCATGCATCGAAACCATGCAAGTTTTCATATTAAGAGATGACCATATTGCATTTTTATATTTAAGCTGTATTGTAAATGAAACAAACAATTTTTATCAATTTATTTTCTACTATTACCTAACTTAATTGTTACATTTTAACTATTTTATTATTTGTTACTTTAACAGTTAAATTAAAAAATAAAAATGTATTTAATTGTATGAAAAATAAAATGCAAAAAATACATTAAAAAAAAAAAATGTTTGTTGGTAACAAATATTTATGTTAATAATTTTGTCTAAAGTTTTTTAGTTGATATTTTACCTAGTTAAAGCTTATAAAATTACGCCCCTAATAATATCAAATACAAATTTTTAAAGATTTTGTCCAGATTGACTGTTGCAACTCTTTTAGTTTACAAGGAATTTGATGTTTGATTTATTAGAAATTTTATTTAAAAAGCCTTTATTGCCTTTTTCCCTTTTTTCTCCGTTTTTCGTTTTCTTTATTCTCGTTTTTACCAAACTCTTGTATCCAAAAACGAGAAAATGTTTTTTGTTTTATGCAACTCTTCTAAAAACATTTAAAACTATAAAATTGATAAGTTAATAATAATAATAACAGCAATAATAATAATAACAATAACAGTAATAATAATAATAACGATAACATTAATAACACAGTATACAAGTACTAAAAATTAGATGTGGTAGAAGAATTTTTTGGTCTTCGAGACATCTAACTTCCAGACATGGAGCAAACTCAAAACATTTATATATTTATACTAAAGTCAATTAAGGATGTTTTGGAAAAAAATTGCGATGGTTGGAGCTTGGAGCTAAAATATTTTTTTTACTAATTTCAACCAGACTTATATTCATCGAGAAATTTTAAGTTTCATAGTAAAATATTTTAGCATTTATTACTTTCAAATCAACTTTCAGTACATATTGAAAAATTGCACTTATAAAAACATTTGGCGCATATTGTTGGTTTTATGTCGAGCATAATTCTACCCTTTTCTCCTTATATATCCAAACTTTTTCCCATTCTTTTCATATATCCAAGCATATTTCGACCGCATTTTCCTTATCTAGCTACTATTTCTAGTCCATTTCTATTTTTTCAAAAGAAATAGTCTCATGAGAAAAAACTTCTTTCCATCAATGCAAATGATCTTAGATTACTAAATCACAAGTTTTATGTCAGATTACTAAATTTCGTATTTTATCGCAGAATTTCTACTGTATGTGGGAAAATATTTAATAATGTCATTAACAAAAACAAACATTTCGTCTCTTGTACATGAGTCTCATTACCTTTGGCAGAAGTAAGGACTGTTTACAAACAACTTTTTCAATAATTTATTACTTAAATCAAGGGATAAAACCTGAATTTGGAGTTCTAGAACCTTGGGTTTCTGGAACCCTAATAATAAGGGTTCTGGAGAACGGGTTCCATAACCCCTATTGAAAAACAGGGTTTGGAAAAACCTTAAGGTTTCTAAAAATAGGGGTCTGGAACCCTTTTGTGTAAAAAAGAGTTCCGAACACTAATGGTTTAAGAGCGCCTCCTAATCAGGTTTTTAAAGCAATAACCTAGCGTAGTAACAAGGAGAAATAATACTTTTATATTTGGCTTGAACGGCAAATTTAATAACAATAGCATTCTTAAGTTAAAAAAAATCCTTACATGGTTTTTATTTTTTTGAAACAGAAATCCGGTTTAAAAAGATGGTTCGGATATTCTGTGTTTTTTAATTAAATACCCAAATCATTATATACCCAAATCATTAAATACCCAAATCATTAAAAACCCAAATCATTATATACCCAAATCATTATATACCCAAATCATTATATACCCAAATCATTATATACCCAAATCATTAAATACCCAAATCATTATATACCCAAATCATTAAATACCCAAATCATTATATACCCAAATCATTATATACCCAAATCATTATATACCCAAATCATTATATACCCAAATCATTAAATACCCAAATCATTACCTCTTGCTGAAATTGTATCTTACCTAAACTTTACTTGCGGCCCTAAAAAAAGTAAAAAGTAAAAATACGGTCTGCTCTCCAAAATTCTCTCTATTAATCTATAAACAACAAATGCTTAACTCAATTTTGTTTTCCTTCTTATTGAAAATATTTGTGGTTTTTCAAAAACTCCGGAGATACCATTGACATATCTAACCAAAGCCAAATAAGTCTTTTTTTATTAATACAAATAAAGTCTTGTGCCTTAAATTAACAATTTTTTAATTTTTTGTGTTGAGTACATACTCTTTAATACTCATAAAAACAATTTTGTTCCTTTCATTCTAATGCTAATTTGTTAACGGTTATAACGGAAAGAATCATGCATTAGATGGAGCGAGGCTGTTTCTGTAAATATAATTAAGACTTTCAATATAGTCTGACAGTTTGATTTTCTCAATAAGCTTTTTTTTTGTCTAAAAAAGGTTTTAAAATTATTGAAATATTTTTTTCAAATGCATCATTAAATTATTGTTTAATGGAAAACTCTTTTTTTATTTTCAATAACTTTTGGAAAATGAAAAAAATCCATCCTTGATTCTGTGTTGTTTCTTGCAATCTTAATGATATTCACAAAACTCTATTTGCTTATTTTACAACTTTTTACTCCAATACTTAATAAAATGTCACGACTTATAATTACTTAAAACAAGAAGCCAATCTTAAATAAATAATAAATTTAAGTTGATATCTTTTTCGTGATAAGTAGAAACACTTTTAATAAGCTCTCTACTTGACATGCTCATAGATTAAAATTCACTGATGACCTCTATTAGAAACCATTTACCCAATTTATTACAAAAATTAAAATATGTTAAGGTTGCCTCTTTTAATTGTGTTTACCATTTTTTAACTCTTGGTTTTATTCTATATTTATGTAAATATATAATTCATTTTTGTATTAAACATAGATGCCATATTTGGGTTGGTTCTTCTAATAATTCCGATTCTCTTTTAAGAAAGATTTAAAACCTTATTGTGTAGCTTGAGCTGCTTTATTTGCCAAGGTTTAGCATATTTCTGTCGCCGTAAATTTGATCTCTTTTTCTTTTCAATAAAGTGCTGGTTGCTGCATAAGTGAGGTAAAATCTTTACCGAAAAACAATTTTCCAAAAATTTTATTAATCTAGTTTTTTTTTCTCAATATCAAAGCTTTGGAATTTTCCCCCATCTTCATGTTTTCTGATTCAAATATTTAAGAGGTTTTAAGTCTTTAGTCTTTTCTTCCTCTTTAAAGAAAAATTTCTTTTTTACTTATGTGTAACCACTAACTAAATAGCCGATAAGTAAGGAGATGTGAACTTCTTGTAAAATGATCTTCCTCTGTAAAAAGACTGTCAGCTCTTCTTGGGGCACCTAAAACAAAAACTAAAAAAAAAAAAAAAAGTTGGGGTTGCTTCAGTAAATTAAAAAAGAATTAAAAAAAAATTTAACAAAGTATATAATTTTGTTAAGGGGTCAATTGTCACGGGATAAATAAAATGTATAACATTCTTATTTTAATTTATAAACATTATATTTTATTTTATGTTTTATGTTTGTGGTTTTATGTAGTTTAGCCAAGTTTTTATAATGCGTTTTTCTTATTTAAATACAATATAGAACATAATGTTATATTTAAATAAGAAAACCAGACATTTTTCATATATATATATATATATATATATATATATATATATATATATATATATATATATATATATATATATATATATATATATATATATATATATATATATACAAAGTAAAGTTCAAGTTGAACTTGACTCAAGTTTGCTTCTTGCATTCCACCCTAAATATTTTCAGCAACAGCCCTGGCCCTAACTTTCTTCTATCAAAACCGGCCCTGGTCAAACATCAGCTTTACTCGTAAACTCTTTTTTTGCAATTATAAAAACAAATGAAAAAACATAAATATTACAAAAATTAAGCAGAAAAATAAAAGAAGTTAAATTCAGCTATTAAATCTAAATTAATATATTTTAAATAGGTATATTGTTATTAATTATTTAATAATTTTGCGCAAGGGGTCCCCAGTCAGTTACGCCTTTTGCGCAGGCCTTGCCAACGCGCAAACAGCGTATCTGTTGGAGGCCGATTTTATAAACATTATTTTTCTAAATTTAAGTATTAAACGCTCTGTTTTTGAAAAAGTATATATTTCTTAAATATTGAGCACTCCACATCAATCAAGAATTTAAAATAAAAGCTAAACAGAAAGTGTCATTTGTACATGGTTAACCTGTTTATTCATTCCAGGTTTTAACAGGTTAACCATGAAATTCTATAATAACAGAATAAACAAGTTAACCATGTACAAATGGCACTTTCTGTTTAGCTGTTATTTTTTATAAATATTGCGTATCTTTTTAACCTATTCTTTTGTTACTTCCTATTTCTATGACACGATAAACTTTTAAACTGATTTTATTGTATTTTTGTAATTATATTATTATTAGTTTGTACAAAAATAATTTTATTTTGTATTGTTTTTTTTTAAAACCTTTATAGGTATTTTAACAAATTTTAACTATTTAATTTTAACTGAAGATGACTTGTGTTAGTCGAAACATGTATTGTTTCGACTA